ACATAAATTGTGGCTATACACATGGACTTTGCCAGATGGAGTACATAGGAATCAGATCAATTACATCTGTGAAAAGAAGCGATGGAGAAGCTCAATGTCTTCAGCCAAAACAAGGCCAGAAGCTGACTATGGAACAGACCATCAACAGCTCATATGCAAGTTCAAGTTGAAGCTGAGGACAATTTAAACAAGTCCATGAGAGCAAAAATATGACCTTGATTATGTCCCTCATGAATTTAGAGACCAACTAAGGAATAGATTTGATGCATTAAATGCCAGTGATGGAAAACCAGGGGAATTGTGGGATGACATCAAGAACATCATCCATGAAAAAACAAAAGGTCATTACAAAGACAGGAAAGGAAGAAAAGATCAAAATGGATGTGAGAAGAGACTCTGAAACTTGCCCTTGACCGGAGAGTGGCTAAAGCAAATGGAAGAAAGGACAAGATAAAAGAACTGAACAGAAGATTTCAAAGAGCACCTCAAGAAGACAAAGTCAGTTATTATAATGAAATGTGCAAAGGCCTGGAGTTAGAGAATCAAAAGAGAAGAACATGCTCAGTATTTCTCAAGCTGAAAGAACTGAAGAAAAAATTCAAGCCTTGAGTTGCAATACTGAAAGATTCTATGGGCAGAATATTGAATGATGCACCAAATATCAAAAGAAGACAGAAGGGATACATAGTGACTGTACCAGAAAGAACTGGTCAATGTTCATCCATTTCAGGAGATAGCATATGATCAAGAACCAATGGTACTGAAGAAAGAAGTAGAAGCTGCACTGAAGGCACTGGCAAAGAACAAAGCTTCAGGAATTGACAGAATACCCATTGAGATCTTTCAACAAAGTGACGCCACACTGGAGGCACTCACTTGACTGTGCCAACAGATTTGGAAGACAGCTACCTGGCCAACTGACTGAAAGAGATCCATATTTGTACCCATTCCAAAGAAAGGTAATCCCACAGAATGTGGATATTATTGAACAAACTTGTTAATATCACACGCAAGTAAAATCTTACTGAAGCTAAATCAAAAATGGTTGCAGCAGTATATTGACAGAGAACTTATAGAAATGCAGATGAATTCAGAAGAGGACGTGGAACAAGAGATATAATTGCAGATGTCAGATGGATCTTGGCTGAAAGCAAAAAATATCAGAAAGATGTTTAGTTATGTTTTATTGACTGTGCAAAACATTTGATTGTGTGGATCATAACAAATTGTGGATAACATTGAGAAGAATGGGAATTCCAGAACACTCGATTGTGCTCATGAGGAACCTGTACATAGACCAGGAGGCTGTCATTTGAATAGAACAATGGGATACAGCATGGTTTAAAATTAGGAAGGGAGTGTGTCAGGGTTGTATCCTCTCACCATACTTATTCAGTCTGTATGCTGAGCAAATAATCTGAGAAATTGAACTATATGAAGAAGAGCCTGGCATCAGGATTGGAGGAAGATCATTAAGAACCTGCAATATGCAGATGACACAACTTTGCTTGCTGAAAGTGAGGATGGCTTGAAGCACTTATTGATGAAGATGAAACACTACAACCTGCAATATGGATTTCATCTCAACATAAAGAAAACTAAAATGCTTACAACTGGACCAATAAGCAGCATCATGATAAATGGAGAAAAGATTTAAGTTGTCAAAGATTTCATATTGCTTGGTTCCACAATGGGAGCTCTGGTGGTGTAGTGCCTAAGGCATTTGACTGCTAACCAGAAGGCTGGTGGTTCAAACCCACCAGCCACTTCTCAGAAAGAAGATTGGACAATCTAGTAACAGAGATACCGCCTCGGAAACCCAAGGAGGAATTGCTGTGAATTGAATCAACTAGACTATTTCTTGAGGTTCCACAATCAACACCAATGGAAGTAGCAATCAAGATATTAGATGACGTATTGCACTGGGCATATCTGCTGCAAAAGACCTCTTTAAAGTGCCGAAGAGCAAAGATGTCTCTTTGAAGACTAAGGTGCGCCTTCTCCAAGCCATGGTATTTTCAATCACCCACATGCATATGAAGGCTGGACAGTGAATAAGGAAGATCAAAGGAGAGTTTCTACAATCAATGCCAATGGAAGCAGCAGTCAGGACTTTAGATGACGTATAGCACTGGGCAAGTTGGCTGCAAGGGACCTCTTTCAAGTGCTGAGGAACAAGGATGTCTCCTTGAGGACTAAAGTGTGCCTGACACAAACCATAAAATTTTCAGTCACCTCGTGTGCATGTGAGAGCTGGACAGTGAATAAAGAAGACCCAAGAAGAATTGATGCTTTTGAGCAGTGCTGGTGAAGAAAGCTTAAAGTACCATGGACTGCTAAAAGAACTAACAGATCTATCCTGGAGGAAGTGCAGCCGGAATGCTCCTTGGAAACAAGAATGGCCAGACTTCGTCTCACCTACTTTGGTTATGTTGTCAGAAGGGACCATTCCCTGGAGAAGGATGTCATGCTTGGTAGGGTGGAGGGTCGACGAAAGAGGGGAAGGCCCTCAGTGAGATGGATTGACACAGTGGCTGCGACGATGGGCTCAAATATAGCAGGGATCATGGAGCTGGTGTGGGACTGGGTGGTGTTTCGTTCTGCTGTGTATAGGGTTGCTGTGAGTTGGACACAACATGATGGCACTTAACAACAGCAGCAACAATAACAAAGAAGAGTTGATGCTTTTGAGTTGTGGTGTTGGGGAAGAATACTGAAAATACTATGAACTGCCAGAACTAACAAATCTGTCCTGGAAGAAGTGCAGCTGGAATGCTCCTTAGAAACAAGAATGGCGAGACTTCGTCTCACCTACTTTGGTCATGTTGTCAGAAGGGACCATTTCCTGGAGAATGATACCATGCTTGGTAAAGTGGAGGGTCAACAAAAAAGGGGAAGGTCCTCTATGAGATGGATTCACACAGTGGCTGCAACGATGGGCTTAAGTATAGCAAGGATTGTGTGCTGGTACATGGCTGGGCAGTGTTTTGTTCTGTTGTACATAGGGTCGCTGTGAGTCAGAGCCAACTCGATGGCATCTAACAAGAACAACAACAACTTTCTCTAATTCTGAGAAAAAGCCACAAATCTATTCTGATTGATTCTGCTAAAATTTGTGCATTCCAGCCTAGTCTAAACCCTTATGGCTGCATAAAGCTTTCATGTGGTTTTTGCTGGCTCTTCACATCTGGTAATGTAGTGCCTAAAACATTTGACTGCTAACCAGAAGGCTGGCAGTTCAAACCCACCAGTCACTCCTCAGAAGGAAAATGGGACAATCTTCCGTAGTAATACTGCCTTGGAAACCCAAGGAGGGGTTGCTATGAGTTGGGTTCAACTCCATGGCACATAACAACAACACATTTTCAGAATTTCCTTACTCTTCTCAAGTTCTCAGCCCTACCTATGCCTCTATCTGTTGGGTTCCCAGGTAGTGATTCACTTGTTATTAACAGGAATAATGTAGTTTTCTGACATGAATATTTTGGGATTCCTTCTGTATCTTTACCCTTATCATCTTCCATCACCTCTTTCTCTTAAGAAGAGAAGGGTCTTCTTCTTTGCCAACATAATCATTCCATGACATGCTCAGATTTTCATTTCTGTAAAGTTTACTCCGTATAATGGGAATTATAATGAGAAAAGTAAGACTGGAGAAAAGAGAACCTAGGAGACTATGCAGTAGTCCAGGCGCTAGATGAATGGTGATCTATCATAGCAACAGGGGGATGAAGAGCAGAGGATGAGTCAGAAATGTTTCAAAGATAGAATTTAGATTTTAGAACACACTTGCCTCCTGGGTCAACCTTTCTACAGAGCATACTCTGTACAACCTTAGCAGTGCCCCACCCCCCAATGTTTATTCATCTCTTTCTGGTGGAATTGAATTGTTAAGTATTCCTTAGTGAATTAAGTGTTTGCATACTTGCCACCTTCTACATTTTTACATTCTTAGAGTTTGAGACTGTGTCTTTGGATTTCCTATTCCATATAGTACCTAAGGAACTCTGGTTGCACAGTAGTTAAAGAACTCAGCTGCCAACTGAAAGGTTGGCAGTTCGAACCCACCAGGTTCTCCATGGGACCATAGATTTACAGCCTTGGAAACCGTGTGGGGCAGTTCTACTGTGTCCTGTGGGATTGCTATTAGTAGAAATTGACTTGATAGCAATGGATTTGTTGGGTTTTTTGTTTTGTTTTTCGGTTTTTATAGCACCTGACAGAATTTTACACATTATAAACATTCAAAAACTGCTCGTTAATATGATGCTTAGATAGCATCCACTGTGTTCTACAGATGTCTTGGAAGAAAGGCTTGGTGTTTTACCTCTGAAAAGTGAGCCTGGAAAATCCTATGGAGCACAGTTCTTCTGTGACACATGATGTGGAATCAACTCAAGGCATCTAGTTGTGTTCTAAAAGCTTTACACATGTTAATTTATTTATTACAACAACCCTGTAAGGAATACACTGTTGTTATACTTACTTCATAGCAAGAGAAAATAAGTCACCAAACCAACCCACTGCCATCCAGTCGATTCTGACTCATAATGACCTTATAGGACAGAGTAGAGCTGCTTCCATAGGATATCCAAGGGGGTAAATCTTTATAAAGCAGACTGCCTCATCTTTCTCTTGCAGAGCAGCTGGTGGGTTTGAACTCCTGATCTTTTGGTTCACAGCTGAATGGTATAAACACTACCCCACCAGAGCTACTTAAATGAATCACAGGTTAAATTACTTTCCTAAGGTCCTACATCCAGAAAGTGATAGAGATGAGACTCAAAATCAGAAAGTTTGGTTCAGGCGTACAACCTCTTAGCCATTATTCCAAACTGCCTCAAAATTGAAATCACATTGTTTGAATACAGCCTAGGGGTTGACTGATTTAAAGCAACATGTAAAATGTTCTAGTTTCACAAGATTAAATATGTTTTATTTTATTTTTGTGGAACACCTAACGAGTTTGCTTTGCAATGTTTTTGTTTTAATCCTTTTAGAACCAATTGGAAGATATAAAACTTACCACAGTGATATCTTTAGTACCTCCAGTGAAAGTCCATCTATTATTTCCTCTGAATCAGATTTCAGACAAGGTGAGAGTCATCTGAAACAAGCAAAATATTGTTTTCAGGAAACTATGATTGTTGTTGTGGTTTGATGTAAGTGGCATTGTGTTGAGATATAAGTATCAAAAAGAAAAATTCTGTATAAATTTTTTAAATAATTAAAAACTGCCAGTTATTCATTTTAACAGTATTATAGGAACTTAAAAGCACTTTCATCAAAAAACTATGCTTTCATTTTCATCATAGAAGAAATAATTCATTGTCTTTAAAAATGACATGACTTATATCAAGAATTTAATAACATGCCATTAAGTTGGTTATTCAAATATGATTTATAAAAGTTGCATTATGTGTCTGCTAAATGCTTGAATTTTAAGTAAGATTACTTTCATGTTTCTATCACCTATGTCATTATTCCCTTTTCATTTACAATTAGTGAGAAGAAGTGAAGCTTCAAAAAGATTTGAATCCAATAGTGATCTCCCAGGGGTAGATGAAACCCCAAATCAAGGCCAGTCACAAAGACCAAGGTATGTAATATGAAAAAGTAGTAATAATTATTTCCAGTGGCAGGTTTTTGTTCTTCTTATTAGAATCAAGGAAAAAATTACTACTCTCTTCTTCTCTTTTCTCCATTTTCCTTTTTTCCCTTAGCTCCCCTTCTCTTTCTGACAAATTAATTCAGGTATGTGAAAGATATTTCAGTTGTTTGAGTTTTAAATAAAGGCAATCCCTGGGTTACGAATGTCCAACTTATACACAACCACATAGTTACAAATCAACCCCCAGAAAAGCCTATTATATTGAAAATTTGAGGTACATGCAATGATTTGTAATGAGAAGTGGTGCTACTTTGGAATATGCATCATAACATTATTATTTTTATTATTTGTATTATGTTAAAGATGTTTTAGTGTGTCGAAGTGTTTCTTTAATATTTTTTATGCATAGAAAGGTGCACTATATATTACATACTGTAGAAAAAAGTTTGACTAACTGACGTCAGGTACAAATCCTGCCTGTTTGGACTTATATACAAATTTGGTTTAAAGACAGATTTGGAAATGGAATTCATTGATAATCTGGGAACTGCCTGTATTGGAATATTTTGATATCTGGATTGGCTCTGATTATTGATAGCTTGTACTTGATTTTTTAAATTGTCAACATGAATACAAAATTGTTTATTGACACTTAGCAAGGTGAAGGTATGCCATTAAAAATCTTCAAGATAGTAAAGCTTGATTTCTAAAGGGGCAGAACCTCTTACAAAAGATTGAAACATGTCGTCAACCACAGGCTTTTAGTGAGCATTATTGTTGAATGAATAATGAATAGATTAGTACTCTAACTTATATTTTAGAAAGTTAATCATTCACTACATCTTTCATGGCTTGAACAGATGTTATCTTGTATTTTTCAAAAGCCAAATTTGGTATGTTTACAGTATTTTTTCCATATTAAAATGCTTTTTTATAAGATGTTTGGCATTGTTCTTGGGCTAAGCTTAAAATAGTCGTATTATAGCTAGTATTGATATACTTTGCTTAAACTGAAGAATGTCAATTGTGAATATATTAATATGTATCCTTTTCATGTACATACAGATTCCTTACATGAAAAACATTGCTAGTCATAAATACTAATCTGAAATGTGTAGTGTGATGTTAAAGAACCAGAGGTTGCTTTAGATTTTACTCCCAAAATATGGGAATTCCCTTAAACTGGGTATTTCAGTTCTTTTAATTTAAATGGCACTAATTTAAATGGAAAGAGGAACTCTGGTGGCATAGTGGTTAAAGCACTTGGTTGCTAACCAAAAGGTCAGCAATTCAAAGCTACCAGCCACTCTATGGGAGAAAGATGAGGCAGTCAGCTTGTGTAAAGATTTACAACCTTGGAAACTCTATGGATCAGGGTCTCTATAAATCAGAATTGACTAAATGGCAGTGGATTTGGTCTTGGTATAGGAGAGAACCATTTGGATATTAACACATATTTGCCCCTAAACTAATTTATTCTGGCAGATACTGTTTTATACCTATAAACTATTAATAGACCAGGTGACCCTAGCCATGTAATTAAAACAGGTAATTGATTCAAGGTTTAGACTCCAAATAATTAAATATATTGCATTCAAATTATTCCTTAAATAATGTTCATGTTGTTATTATATTTCTTTTCTCTTCTCTCTTGTGTCTTTTAAATTATTGCATTTTTTTTTCTAAGTAACAAAAAGGTTCAATAAGCATTCATTTACCTAAAACAATATTAAACCATTGTTTGTGTTGATTTTGGTAATGTTGAACAAAGAGGTAAGAGACCAAGATGGAGTTGTACTTGATATTAGTTTTCTTAATGAAGCAAAGCATTTTAGGATGAACAGCACTAAGAAGCCAGTACTAACTTGCACTAAGCTCAATGCTGAATTTAGAAAAAAAAATTAAAAATTAAAAAAAAAAAACAACCTTTTCTCTATATATCTAATTTGGAGGAAAACTATGAATACTTAATATGTTGCACTTTTAGCTTGATGGAAAGCAGGATTAGAGAAAATAATTGGAAGTATGTCTTAATGGTTGATTTACAGTCAATTTATTATTGGTTCACTAGTTAGCTAAAGGTAGCATTGATGGCATAGTGCCTAAGGCATTTGACTGCTAACTAGAAGGCTGGCGTCCAAACCCACCAGCTACTCCTCAGAAAGAAGATTGGGCAATCTACTTCCATAAAGATACCGCCTTGGAAACCCAAGGAGGGGTCTCTGTGAGTCAGAAACAACTCGATGGCAGTGAATTTCTTTTGGCTAGTTAGTCAAACAGCTGTTCTTCCAAAAAGTAAATCATTTTCTGAGCCTTATTTCCATTTTCTTGACAAACTCAAGATTTTGAGACGATCTTTCTTTGGATTGTTTCCATATTTCAACGAAACATTAACATTCAGGCCACCTTAGCTCACCAAATCCACCAAATTAGAATAATCTAAAGCTCGTTCCACACTTCCTGGGAGGGGAAGAACATACTCTGGTCTTTATGGCATCTTAGTTAGATACTGACTGGAAATGGGGAAAAAAAAATTGAAAGAGAGGTGAACTGTTGGATGTGTGTATGTTATTTTTAATGCAAGATGCTAAACTCTACTTCCTTTCGACTAGTCCATTTTCCTTTTCCTTTCCACAGAAATCTGCATTAATTAACATACTGTCTAAATTCCTTATTCAAGTGCAGACCTTTCTGAATGTGTACAAACATTTTTGGTAATATCCCTAACAAGCTAGTACACAGTCAGAAGACCCTGTTTTGTTCTTTAGGTCATATATTTGTGAATTCTATAAATAGTACTGCATTTCTACATGCTGCATGCTTATTTATAAAAATTTCCATTCACTTTAGCTAGAATGAAATGACAAAACAGATCCACATAGTGCTATTGATTTGTATCACAGAGGGTGGGGGAGGATTAACAGGAATTTATGAGTCAGATGCAATAGAATGAGTAATTTTCAGATTCTGAGCTATCAAAAGTGTCTTTCAGCAACCAAAAAGGATATTCAAAGCTGTTTTTCAAAGAGGAAGCCTTTTTATGTATTAACTTTTGAAGTACAGTTTGTACATAGAACATTCCCACTGCTGCTGTGTCTGTCTGCTTGATGAGATAACTTTTTTTTTTTTTTATGGCTCAAAACAACCTATTCATTTGTTTCAAATGATCCAGACTTTCTGGGTTTTTTTGTGTTTTATTTTGCTTTTTGTTTCTCAAACTATAGGATTTCTACCAGAGACTGATTAGAGAGAGATAACATAATAGTCGTTTTTGCTCTACCTTTTAGTATCTTTACTGCAATATAATTTGAGCAAGAAGGCAAATATATTTGCTAGAATTAAAATTTAAGTTAAAATGTATGGATTCAAATTCTTATTATTATTACCTTTGGCTCCGATTAAGAGAGTCATAAAATTATATTCAGTCATTCACTTAACAAATATTTACTGAGCATTTACTGTGTCTAGGTACTTTTAGGCACTGGAGTTAGTGTTGTGAACAAGGCAGAGAAAGTATCTCAAGGGTCTTTGTAGAACTGAGAATAGACAATACACCAGAAAAACATAGTAATGGAATGCCAGATAGTGATGGTGCTTTGAAGAAAAGTAAGCAGGCAGAGGGGAATGAGGAGTGCAGGGCTGTGATATGAGTTCTATTTTGCATTGGTAACGTGATCGAAGAAGGCTTCTAAAGAGATGACATATGAACAGAAAACTTAATGAGGTGAGGGAGTGAATCATGCAAATATCAGTAGAAAGAGGGGTATTCCAGACAAATGGAACAGTAAGTGCAGAGACTCAGAGGCATGAGAGATGTGTCCATTTTAGAGGAATATTACAAAGAGCAGCATGACTAGGGCAGATTGAATAAAGGGCAAAGTGGATGATAACCAACTAATCAGGACTCAAATCAGGTATCCCAGAAGGTAACCAGAAGTACCTCTCAATGAAAGATCACCAGAGGTAACTAGGACCCAAATAAGACTGCAGAAGCTAAGATGAGCACTTTGGATATTATTCTAAGTGCCGTGTAAAACTTGGAGGGTTGAAAGCATGGAGAACTGTGATCTAATTTACATTTAATGGGATTTTTCTGGTCATTTATTCAAAAAATATGTTGTAGCAGTGAGAGGCCAGTTGGCGATTATAACAATCCATTTGAAATGAGCACAGCATAGACTAGGTTGTTAGTGATGAAGAAGGTCAGTATGGATATCTTCAAGACTGTGTCTTCAGGATTGACTGATGAATTGATGTGGGGTTTGCAAGAAGAATCAAGGATGACTCCAATTTGTGTCCTGAACAACTGGTGAATGATGGATCCATCTATTGAGAGAAGGTTGGAGGAGGACAACTATCAAGAGTTTAATTTTATACAGTTTAGGTTACAAAAACATCCAAGGAGAGGGCTCACTTAGGCAGATGAATAGAATTAGATTTTAGAGGAGAGACTGGAGTTGCCAATATACACTTGCAAATTATTGAAATATATAAGGTATTTAAAAACATGTAACTATAAGAGATCACCTAGGTGATATACATAGAGTATATGTGGAGACTAGAAAAATCTAGAGGCCTGAGTGCCTTGGTAGTCTAGCATTCAAAACTTCAAACCTGTGAGTGGAAATGATTCTAAGTCATAGCAACCCCATAGGACAGAGTACAATTGTCCCATATGGTTTAGGTTTCTAAGGCTGTAATCTTAATGAAAGCAGATTGCTACATCTTTTTCCTGCAGAGCAGGTAATAGGTTCAAACTACCAACATTTCAGTTAGCAGCCAAGCACTTAACCACTGTGCCACTAGGATTCCTTAATCTGGCATTAATAGATTAGAAGAAGGAGCCAGCAAAGGAAGACTAACAAGAAGGAACCAGTGAAGTAGATGAAAAATAAGAGTATGGTTCCCCTGAAGTTAAGTACTATATTTCAAAAAGGGGAAAGGTTGAGCAGCTATGTCATATGATGCCTTAAAAAACAAACAAACAAACAAACAAAAAAAAAAAAAACCTCACTGCCATCAAGTCAATTCCGACTCAAAGATAGCGACCGTCTTTGAGTTTCCAAGGTAGTAAATCTTTACGGAAGTAAATTGCTCAGTCTTCCCTCTGCAGAGTGGCTAATGGGTTTGAACTGCTACCCTTCTGGTTAGCAGTCAAATGCCTTACTCTCTACAGCACTAGAGCTCCTATATGATGTCTGTTGTTGTTGTTGTTGTTGTTAAGTGCCGTCGAGTCATTTCCGACTCATAGCGACCCCATGCACAGCAGAACGAAACACTGCCCGATCCCGCGCCAGCCCCACAATCCCTGCTATACATGAGCCCATCATTGCAGCCACCTTGTCAATCCATCTCATTGAAGGCCTCCTCCTCTTTCATTGACCCTCCACCCTACCAAGCATGACATCCTTCTCCAGGGAATGGTCCCTTCTTACAACATGACCAAGATAGGTGAGACGAAGTCTGGCCGTTCTTGCTTCCAAGGAGCATTCTGGCTGCACTTCCTCCAGGACAGATCTGTTAGTTCTTTTAGCAGTCCACGGTACTTTCAGCATTCTTTGCCAGCACCACAACTCAAAAGCATCAACTCTTCTTCGGTCTTCCTTATTCATTGTCCAGCTCTCACATGCATACGAGGCAATTGGAAATATCATGGCTTGTGTCAGGCGCACCTTAGTCCTCAAGGAGATATCCTTGCTCCTCAGACTTGAAACAGTTCCTTCGCAGTTGACTTTCCCAATGCTACACATCGTCTAATGTCCTGACTGCTGCTTCCGTTGGCATCGATTGTAAAACCAAGTAATGTGAATTCTTTGACAACCTCAATCTTCTCTCCATTTATTGTGATGCTGCTCATTGGTCCAGTTGTGAGGATTTTTTTTTTTTTTTTTATATTGAGACGTAATCCATACTGCAGACTGTATTCTTCAACCTTCATCAGTAGGTGCCTTAAGTCATCCTCACTTTCAGCAAGCAAAGTTGTATTGTCTGCATATCTCAGGTTGTTAATGATTCTTCCTCCAATCCTGATACCACGTTTTTCTTCATATGATGTCTAGAGATCAAATTAAAAAAAAATTGGAATTCTCCTTAGGGTTTGACAATATTCATGGAGACTGGTCATTTTTGTGACCAGTTTTGGTTGAATGAAACCAATTATTGTTGCGTCAGTTTTGTCTCATGGTGATACCGTGTGTGTCAGACTAAAAATGTGCTCCAGGGGATTTCCAGTAGCTGGTTTTTCAGAAGTAGATTACGAGACCTTTCTTCCAAGGTGCTGTTGGGTGGACTCAAACAAACTTTCAGTTAGCAGCCAAGCGCATTAACCATTTACACCACTCAGGAGCTGCTTTGGTTGAATATTGGAGATTAAACTTGATTGGCCTGAGTTCAAGAGAGAGTGGGAGATGAAATGGAGATAAAAGTTTAGAAAGCAAATTTGAGGAGATTTACTATTTAAAAAAAAAAGCAAAAAAATAATGGTTTGGAGAACTGAAGGGGAAGTGGAAAAAAGGAAGATTCCCCGCCCCCCCAAGAAATCCTACAGTATGTTTGTATGCTAATGAAAGTAACCTAGTGTATGAGATTGTTTATGTAGAAGAAAGGATCATTATAGGAGCACAGTAGGGAAGAGGGATGGAATCCCACGCACAAGTGGAGATTTTGGCCTTACAGGAAATCCACACATTGTACCAAGACAAAAGGCAAAACAGGTGGATATAGGTTTGGAAAGTTTGGTGGTAGAGGGATGAGGAAGTTATTTTCTGAATGCCTCTTATTTAACTAAAAAGAAATGAAGGAGGATGTGTAAGAGAGTATTGCAAATATGAAAAGAGAGGAGAAAGAAGAAGTTATAAAACAGTTCTCTCTCGAAAAAAGAAAATGATTATCAGGCAGTGGTAAGGGCCCAGTGAGATCAGTCATCATGATTCTGTGGGTTCGTGAGATTTGAGGTTGTATACAAGGGAGTCAATTCAATGCTGGGGCTTTGAATCCAATCAATATAAGAGCAAGAGAGGGGTAACAGCCAGAAAGTGGTATCATCAGTGGATTAAAGTCCTCACAGAATTGATTAAGGAGACCCTGAGAGCCCCTCCAGGCTCACTTTAACTACAGCTAAACACTAGACTGTTAGCTGAAAGGTTAACCATTTGGACCTACACTTGGTTCCTTGAAAGACAGTCCTTGCTATCGGCTTCCAAAAGTCACAGCCTTGACAACCTTAAGGAGCACACATAGTTCTACTCTGACACATGGGATTTCCATGAGTCAGAATCAACTTGATAGCAACTAACAGCAGGGTCCATGAATTATTTGAGTGGGGGTCTTAAAGGAAGTGAACTAGAAGAAAAATAAGACTATATGGAGAATTGGGAGGTATTGTAAGTGAGTCAGGGCCAACTCAATGGCACCAAGGGCAACACATTTATTGTTAATATGTATGGCCATGAAAATAGGTGACTGGCAGCTGTGGGAAGGAGGCCAGAGTGCTGGAAGAACTCTCATTTCATGTATGACAGGAGTAATAGAAGGGAAAAAGATTGAGAGGCACTTAAATCTTTAATGAGTACGAGAGAGTGAGCGAAAGAAAAGAACAGAAAGTCTACAACAAAGTGGGTAGTGGTTGATATGATTTCATGGGGTGTACTTAGAGGAGCTGAAGAGGGGTCAACAGTGGTCCAAAAACTGAAATAAGAGTTGAGAATCTCCATCTTCCCTCCAGGCTCAGTGGTACATGTCTATAGGAATAAAATAGTCCCAACTTCAGAGAAATGCATGAGTAGCAGTCTTCAGTAGACAGCTGGAATATTCAGAGAACAGGTGGAAGATTTAGGTCTATCCATGAAAACTATGACAGCATACACCACCAGAACATTAGAAGTAGGACTGAAGTGTTCTTCTGTATTGCAAGGAATGTTTTGAAATGAAAAAATCAGATGTCTTTAAATGCTTGATACCTTAACATTGTGTTTTTTTGATTACCTCTAAGATAATTGTTTTCTTCTTAACACTTAATTATTTTCCTTTTTTCTATATAGCAGACAATATGAAACACCCCTAGAAGGCAACTTAATTAATCAAGAGATCATGCTAAAACGGCAAGAAGAAGAAATGATGCAGCTGCAAGCCAGAATGGCCCTTAGACAGTCTCGATTGAGTCTGTATCCAGGAGACACAATCAAAGCATCTATGCTTGACATCACCAGGGATCCCTTAAGAGAAATGGCCCTAGAAACAGCCATGACCCAAAGAAAACTTAGGGTAAGTTGATTCTCCAGGTTATGGCATTTAAACTTGGTCTTGCAGTTAACTGTTAAGCAAAGTATTTTTAAAAAATTGTTATAGGTATCCTAAAGTTGCCTGTATATGAAAATGAAATCCCATATTTCCATTGGGGTTAGCTGATTTTACTCTGATAATGCAGCTTTTTCCCTGTTCTACTTTGAGAGCTTTCTAAGTGAATTGACTCATTTTCCTCCTCTGTATTGGACAGTGTTTCTGGAGTATGCATAAATTTGCGCAATAATGTATCAGACAGTGTTTCTCTGCTATTCATAAGGTTTAACCTGGCCAATTCTTTGAGAAGTGAATGGCCTCCTCCTTCTTCTTAGTCTGTCTTAGTCTGAAAGCTGGGCTGATACCTGTGCAACAGGTGTACCCCACTGGGTTTGAAACACCAGTGGCACAGCCTCAAGACTCGCAGCAACACATCACCATAGTAGGACAAACTGACAGACAAGTTTGTCTCCCTTAGCTGTTTGAAACCCCTCTAAGCACCCTTACCTGGATCCCTGCGGTTGACTCCTCGATCTGTTCCTATCCTCTTTGCCTTTTCTGACCTCTCCTTCCCTTCCCAACTCACTCCTTGTGGGGGTGGCCTGGATTCTCTGTCTTCACCTGGGTCCCTGAGGCTGACTCCTCGATCTGTTCTGGTCTCCTTTTCTTTTTCTGTCCTCTCCCTGCTTCCCACCTCACTGCCTTTTCTTAGGTCCCTGGAATCCAAATGAGAATGCTATCACTTCAAAATCCAAAATGGTTGCCACTTGTAAACATTAAAAATGCCTGCACCCTCAGTCACTTTAAATATCCAAAATGGCCACCACTATAAACATTCAAAATGGCTGCACCCTTGGTCACTTTAAATATCCAAAATGGCCACCACTTGTAAACGTTCAAAATGGTTGGCTGCACCCTCGGTCACTTTAAATATCCAAAATGGCTGCCACTGTAAACATTGAAAATGACTGCACCCTCAGTCACTTTAAATATCCAAAGTGGCTACCGCTTGTAAGTAAACATTCAAAATAAGAGAAAAAGGCATAGAAGAAAAATAATGAAGAAAAATGGGAAAAATGCAAAGAGAAAACAAGGAACGGGGTTAGCCATGAGAAAAAGAATACAAATTTTGCAACCAGCAACAGGGAAAAGAAAAAACCTGAAAACTAGGACCTGGGAGGGGAATAATAGTTAAAAGGTCAAAAGTATTAATAATAGTTGTTGTTGTTTTGCTGTCGAGTCGGCCCGACTCATAGCGACCCCTCCTTGGGTTTCCGAGGCAGTATCACTACAGACGTAGGATTGCCCAACCTTCCTTCCAAGGAGTGGCTGGTGGGTTTGAACTGCCAGCCTTCTGGTGAGCAGTCAAGTGCCTTAGGCACTATGCTACCAGAGCTCCTATTAATAATAGTAGTAGTTTTTAAACAGACAAAGGCAAGCAAACTAAAAACCAGGGGAAAAAAGGGGGGGGGGAGGGCAGGGCAGGGCACCTAGGCTCCGTCCAAGCACACAGAGTGGAATGGAGTGCCTGTGGGCCCAGAAGGTGGGTGGGAGTGGATGATGGCTGAACCTCCGTTCACCAAGCAGGTGTGGGGTATAAGAGTAACAAAAGGGGAATGTCACACCTTTTCAGTCTTCCAGGTCCAGAGTTTCCTTGGGACTTCTCGGATATCTTCTAGAAGCTAGAAGTCTGAATTCCAGGTGCTGGCTCTCAGGGAGGTTTCTCTTTCTATGTGGGCTCAAATTTAGTAGACTAGAAGTACCAATTCAGGCTGCCAGCTCGAAGAAGGCTTTCTTCCTCTGTTAACTAATGTTACTCAAGTGCTCTGTAGATGTCTATACGGTCATGTTGGTTGATCATATTGTTCAGTTCTTCTGCATCTTTGTTGAGTTTCTTCCCATTGTTCTATCTTGTATTGAAAGTGGTGTATTATAGTCTCTGTTTGCCAAGTGCCTAAGGCAATTGACTGCTAACCAGAAGTCTGGTGGTTCAAACCCACCAGCCACTCTGCAGAGGCAAGACTGGGCAATCTACTTCCATAAAGATTTACCACCTCAGAAAGCCAATGGGTGTTGCTGTGACTCAGAATCAATTTGATGGCAGTGGGTTATAACTGGATTTTGGGTTTTATCATCATGTGTGTTAATCATTGGCTGTTGTTTTCCTTTGTTGGTTCTCTTTCTGAAGAACTCCTTTTTTATCATGTCTTGTAAGGTCGGTCAGGTTTTAACAAATTCCCTTAATTCTTGGTTATCTGGAAATATCCTAATTTCACCATCATATTGGAGGGACAGTTTTCTGGGTATGCAATTCTTGGTTGGAAATTTTTTTCTTTCATGGTTTTATATATATATTATCCCATTGCCTTCTCTCCTGCATGGTTTCTGCAGAGAAATCTGAGCTTAGTCTTATTGGTTACCCTTTGTAAATAACTTTTTGTTTTTCCCATGCTGCTGTCAGGAATCTTTCTTTGTCTTTGGTTTTGGTGAGTTTGATGATGATGTGTCTTGGTGATTTTCTTTTGGGGTCTATTCTGTTTGGAATTCATTGAACTTCTTGAATGGATATATTCTAATCTTTCATCATACTAGAAAAATTCTTTTCTAAAAAATATTTGACAATTTTCTCTGTAGTTTTATTTGTCTGTTCCTGTTGTGGAATTCCAATTACATGTAAGTTGTTCCTCTTGATGGTATCCCACATGAATCTTAGGTTTTCTTCATTTTGTTTTGATCTTTTATCTGATTGATCCCTTAACAAAGTAGTATGGAGGCATTTGTCTTCAATCTCATTAATTCTGTCTTCCATTGATTTGATTCTACTCCTTTGCCCATTCACTGTGTTATCTAATTCTTAAATCTTAGTACTAATCTTCTGGATTTCTATTTGTTCTTTTTGTATCATTTCTAATTTTTGTTTATTTTGTCAATTTTTTCTTGTATGTTTTCCTGAATTGTTCTAGAGTTTTGTCTGTGTTTTCCTTAATTTTGTTAGTGTTTTCCTTGATCTGCCTCTCAATCCATTGAAGTACCCCAATAATATTGTTTTCAATTCCTTATCAGTAAATTCCAATGATGTTTCTTCAAGGATGCTTTCTTTTTT